GGCTTGTCCAGCTCATTAGAACAGCTGGTCTATTTAACTTTGATCGGGTGCTCACAATTCAAACATCCTAAAGGTTACAAGAAAATGCTCACTAATTATTGTCAGTACTGTGTGTTAAAAGACAATTAAGAATAGAGTTTACATTCAGAAATTCAGCCTCCGCTACACCTGCAACCTCCAACTTCTTTAGGGAGTGGCCTTCAACGCATGGTTCCCCATTCGAATGGAGGCTAATTCTGTCAATCAAGTTGGCTTCTGGGTGGGGAAGCTGTCACTGACATTAGAACATAGAACATAGAACATAGAACATTACAGCGCAGTACAGGCCCTTCGGCCCTCGATGTTGCGCCGACCTGTGAAACCAATCTGAAGACCATCTAACCTAAACTATTCCATTATCATCCATATGTTTATCCAATGACCATTTAAATGCCCTTAAAGTTGGCAAGTCTACTACTTTCGCAGGCAGGGCATTCCATGCCCTTACTACTCTCTGAGTAAAGAACCTACCTCTGACATCTGTCCTATATCTATCACCCTTCAATTTAAAGCTATGTCCCCTCGTGCTAGCCATCACCATCCGAGGAAAAAGGCTCCCACTGTCCACCCTATCTAATCCTCTGATCATCTTGTATGTCTCTATTAAGTCACCCCTTAATCTTCTTCTCTCTAACGAAAACAGCCTCAAGTCCCTCAGCCTTTTCTCATAAGACCTTCCCTCCATATCAGGCAACATCCTGGTAAATCTCCTCTGCACCCTTTCCAATGCTTCCACATCCTTTCTATAATGCAGTGACCAGAACTGTATGCAATACTCCAGGTGCGACCGCACCAGAGTTTTGTACAGCTGCAACATGACCTCATGGCTCTGAAACTCAGTCCCTCTACCAATAAAACCTAACACACCGTACGCCTTCTTAACAACCCTATCAACCTGGGTGGCAACTTTCAGTGATCTATGCACATGGACACCGAGATCTCTCTGCTCATCCACACTACCAAGAATCTTACCATTAGCCCAGTACTCTGTATTCCTGTTACTCCTTCCAAAGTGAATCACCTCACACTTTTCCGCATTAAATTCCATTTGCCACCTCTCAGCCCAGCTCTGCAGCTTATCTATGTCCCTCTGTAACCTGCAACATCCTTCCGGACTATCCACAACTCCACCGACTTTGGTGTCATCCGCAAATTTACTAACCCATCCTTCTATGCCCCCATCCAGGTCATTTATAAAAATGACAAACAGCAGTGGCCCCAAAACAGATCCTTGAGGTGCACCACTAGTAACTGAACTCCAGGATGAACATTTCCCATCAACCACCACCCTCTGTCTTCTTACAGCTAGGCAATTTCTGATTCAAACCGCTAAATCCCCCTCAATCCCATGCCTCTGTATTTTCTGCAATAGCCTACCATGGGAAACCTTATCAAATGCTTTACTGAAATCCATATACACCACATCAACCGCTTTACCCTCATCCACCTGTTTGGTCACCTTCTCAAAGAACTCAATAAGGTTTGTGAGGCATGACCTACCCTTCACAAAACCGTGTTGACTATCCCTAATCAAATTATTCCTTTCTAGATGATTATAAATCCTTTCCTTTCCAACACTTTACCCACAACCGAAGTAAGGCTCACTGGTCTTACACACACTTTGTGGAATTAAAACCACAGAGAGCTGGGACCCTGGCTGTTTGCCAATCGCTGGGAATATCAAGGTGAAGAAGGAGGAATAATCAAGCCCTGTTGCATTGGAGTTTGTGGAGAGAAAGGTAACTGTGTGATTACAGCGAGTTTGGGACTCTTTAACTTAAGGGCTCAAGTCTCTTTCAAACATATTTCACATTCAGACCCTTTACAAGCCGCTCCTGGGGGAAGGGTTTTGGGGGACTAGGATGGGGGAGGGGATTGGTAGATAACTGGCAATTTTCACTTTCCCAGTAGACCATTCTTTAGCTATTCAGCCCATCAAGTCTGTTCTCTCATTCAATGAGATCATGGCTGATCTGATCATCCTTGACTCCACTTTCATGCTGTTACCCAAGAAACCTTCGATTCGCTTACCTAAAATCTGGCTATCTCTGCCTTAATTATACTTAAAGATACAACCTGGACAGCCCTTTGTGATAAAGTATTCCACAGATTCACTAGCCTCTGAGAGAAGAAATTCTTCCTTGTCTCTATCTTAAATATGCAACCCCTTGTTCTGAGGTTACGTACTCTGGTCCTAAAATCTCCCACAAAGGGAAGGAATCTCTCTGCACCTACCCTGTTAAGTACCTTAAGAATCTTGTATGTTTCAATAAGGTCATTCCTGTAGATTCTAATGAGCACACAGCCAACCTACTCAACTTCTCCTCATTAGTCAGTCCCTCTGTACCTCAGCCCAGTGAACGTCTTCTGGGCTGTCTCCAATGCCAGTCTATTTTTTGTTAGATAAGGAGCCCAAAACTGTTCACTGTGTTCCAGCTGCAGTCTTGTATAGTTTGGTTTGAAATAATGGCCAACATTCCATTTGCCTTCCCGGTTACCTGCTAAACTTGGGAGCTAGCTCTTTGTGAATCACGCTGAAGGACTCCCAAATCCCTATGTTTTGTAGCTTTCTGCAGTCATGTTGGTTTATCCCATTTCTAGAATCTTTCTTCCTCACTGGTCTATGTCTTCGCTGTGAACTATTTTAATAAATGTATGCCATTTGTTCCTCAACTGTCCTTGCTGTTAATCCCCTTTCATAGTCCACTAGGGCCAGCTCCATCCTCATTCCTTTGTACTTACTCTCACATAAGATGAGCACAGTTATTTCCAATCCAAGTCACTTCCTTTTAAACTGAATCTAAATTCTACCATGTTATGGTCACTGTTTTCTCGGGGATCTTTTACTCTGATATCATTTATTAAACCTACCTCATTATAGATCACCAAAATAGCCTGATCCCAGGTTGGATCCAAAAATATTGTTCTTGGAAACTGTCCTGAATATTCTCTATAAATGCGTGCTTGTTAATCTGACTGTCACAATTTATATGAATATTAAAGGCACTTATGATTAATGTACTGCATTTGTTGCATGCCCTCATTATCTCCTGATTCATTCTCTGTCCTGCCATAAAGTCCCTGCAGTATCATCTTCCCCTTTTAATTTTCGTCTATATCTCTATCCATGCACATCCTATACCTTCCAATCCAAGGTAATTTCTTGCTATTGTACTTATTTCATCCTGTACAACAATGTTATCCCAACACCTTTTCCTTCCTGCCTCTCCTTTTGAAAAATCATATACCCCTGAATATTTAGTTCCCAGTTTAGATCTCCTGTAACCATTTCTCTGTAATGGCTATAAGATGATATTCATTAACTTGTTTTTTCATTAATTCATTTGATTTGTTCTGAATACTATGGGCATTCAAGTAAGCAGCGACTAATTTTTGCCTTTTTACCAGTGTTTCCCATTTTGACCCAATTCACTGCTGTTTCTCTGTGTTTACATATTCTGTTTCTTCCTGTACCACTCTGGGTATCATTATCCAAATAGCCAATGTATAGTACTGCCATATCCTCTTGCTTTGCAAACCTATATTTCCCCTCTCCCAACACTATCCCCCAGTTGGTTTGAAGCCCTCTCTATAGCCCTTGTTATTTGAATTGCCAGGAAATTGTTCCCAGCACGATTCAAGTGAAACCTATTCCAATGGAACAGTTCCTTTCTACCCATGTAATGGTGCCAATGCCCTAAGAACTGAAACCCATTCCAGCCTCACCAATCTTTGAACCATGCATTTAACTTCTTGACTTTATTTACCCTGTGCCAGTTTGCTCGTGGCTCAAGTAGTAATTCATAGATTACAACCTTGGAGGTTCTGCTTTGTAATTTAGCTCCTAACTGCTTAAAGTCTTTCAACAAAGCCTTCTTCCTATTCCTGTCAGTACTGTTGGTACTAATGTAGATGATGATTACTGGATCTTTACCCTACCTCTGAGGCAATGTGCTTAACTCTGGCACCCAGGAGGCAACTCAACCCTCAGGAGTACTGCTCACGCCTTCAGAGAACAATATCTATCCCTTTAGTCATGCTGTTTGCTACTACTACTACATTCATATTTCCATCTCCCACTTGAATTACTCCATGTACCAGGGTGCTGTAGTCAGTTTGTTATCCTCTGTGCAGTCCCCACTCTCATCCACACAGTTTTCAAGAACATCATAACTGTTGGGACAATTGTAGGGGCTAACGTTCCTCAATTTTAACTCCCTGGATTGTTATACCTGCCTCAGTCACACCTTCTTGCCCCTGATAACAAACCAGTTTTGAATAACTTGGTCTAAGGAGTATGACTGCCCACTGGAGCAAAGTCTTGGGATATCTTCCCCCTTCCCTGATGTGGCTCAATGTCTGCATTTATGCTGTCAGTGATATGTCAGGTAACCTAGATGTACCCTTAGTCAAGGTGGCATATGCCATTGCCTTGTTGAACAGGTCAAATTCCGTTTGCCTCATGAACATTGGTGAGCTTCATGATGGAGGCCCCAAGTGTCCACATTTCATCACTGAAGCGGATTGGTGGAGCCATCATTTCTAGGTGAATGAAAAGAAAAGTTGTTAATGCAACGGAAATTGAACAATTGTTATAACATCCTACCAGATTGTTTCTCCAGGTGGTGAAGTTGGATGGGAGTGTGGGATTCAAACACAAATAGATCAGCCACAAACTTATTGAATGACACAGCAGGCTCAGGAAAGGGGTGAATGATTTACTTCTGTTGCTGTTTCATATGTTCATAAGTTTGCAAAAAGATCCGAAGCAGGTGATGTTTATCCTGTTCTGTTTAGTATCTTGGTGTGATTTTTTTCTGTTTGCAATTTAACAGGATTAACAGCTGAACCAAAGCAACAAGCAGAAAAAATATACAAAAAAATTAGTGACCACTGTAATTCAATATTCCACAAGGCATTTTAAGTATTTGACACTTAATCATCACGTTAACCTTTTGCAGGTCTTTGCAAATAGCAATGATCACTTTGGAGTAATTATTACCGTTCATGATGGGATAAATGCATTGGTAAGTAACATCAACAATAAACAGTTATAGTTTACATATCTATATCTTTAACTTCATATTAAGAATCAATTTTCAAAGCTTTTGTACCAAGACTGTACTGAATGTATTTGAGTTTGGTGATTTCTACAAAGTGTTTAAGGTCAATTTGCAAGTGAAGCTTCCAAATAACCAAAATTCCAACCAAAAAGATGAGTCAAGCACTCTGATGCAAGATCACCACATGGTCATTCATGAGCTACCCAATAACCCTAGCTTTCCTCTTCTGTGACAGCAGTGATTTCTGGGTGTTAATTTGAGAAAATGAGTGTGAAAGGAATATGGAAAAATAGTTAACATTATTTTACCCTGTATAGGTGAAAAAGACTTTGCATATTTATATCGAGGATATTAATGACAACTCGCCAGCCTTTAAAGGGTTACCGTATCAAGTTGAAGTTGCAGAGGTAACCAGTTTCACATGTTGAACTGTATAATTTTGAACTTGCAGCTTTAAATTATGGTCAATTACATGTTGTCAAAAATGACATAATAATGACAAAATTGCTTCTAAGAACATATTATTAAGAACACCTTTATTTACTTTTTGAGCAGAATGAAAATGTGGGAACTGAAATATTCAGGGTATTTGCAAGAGACATTGATAGAGGCAATAATGGCTCTGTAACATATGAAATTCTAGAGGTAATTGCTGTACTTCCCTTTCTCTTATGCACTAATGTTCATTTTTCTAATACATTAAATGCAGTACTTTTCTTAAATTGTATATGTGAAATACACTTGGTGGATGTATCCTTTTAATATTTCTGCATAGCTTCTACCCTCAGATAATAATGATTTATTTGAAATATCCAAAAATGGAAGCATTTACCTGGAAGGTCAGCTGGACTTCTCTATAAGCACCATTTATCAGCTTCTTGTCAAAGCAGAGGTATGTAGTAAAAGTCCAGGTCATTCCAAAGTCTAAGCAAAATTTCAGTTGCAAAGTTTATTTACATTTTTAAAAACCATGCCGTACCACTCAGTACAACCTGTGAGGTTTCATTTAATGTTTAATGACAAGGAGCAGATGTAACAGCTTGTCACTAGGCAGATATCTCATTAGCTGAATTGATTAAGAGGGAATGCTCAGTATTAGGTTGCTAAAGCAGTAAAGTCAACCAACCAAGATAAATGTCTACCAAATGAATATATCGATAGACAACTGTAGGATGGAGGGTGATTTTTATCAACTTCCTACCCTAATTCATTCTTCTTAGGGCTCAAAACTATTCAAGTTCTTTCATTCCTCAGACCTCCCTTTCCTGCAACAGAGTTGCAAAAGGTTCTCTGTCACCTAACTATCTTGTTTACCTTTGCTTTTATGCCCAATTACATCTTGGATCTATGTAACATTATAAGCGTTCTCACAACATATTTTAAAGAAATAGTTTTTCATTCAAAGACAAAGTTGGTCAAGATTATCCGTGGATATATCGCAAGAAAGAGGATGAATCAGTAGTAAAGTTCTTGTAAAAAAAAGTTAGTAATACATGCTAGAAGGTGTAAAATTAATCTCATTCTTTCAACAGGATCAAGGAGAACCAGAAACAAAATATTCTACTGCCAGATTGATCATAAATGTGATTGACATACCAAATAAACCACCAGAATATTTAAACTCTTTTTACTATGTTCGAGTTCCAGAGAATTTACCTGTGGTATGTTTAATAATAAATTAACACCATTGGCAAAATGTGTTATATTATTTCATGTGATTTCTAATTGACCTGGTAATGAACCATAAATATTCTTTGTTTAGAATACAAGTATCATCACTGTAACAGCAATTGATGGAGACCGAGGTATTAACAATCCAGTCAGGTATAGTATTAATGGTATGTATTTCAGTATTAATGGTATGTATTTCAGCATTAATGTGAGATCCTTACCACATAAAAGAAAGATATAACACAAATGATGCTTTTAATTCTTTTCACTGAACATACTTCTGGTAGTTCTAAACTTGCAGATGTCAATCTGTCATCTGTACAATGCTGGGAATTATTTAGTGCTGGGAACACCCTGTAAAGGGCAAGTTTCCATTATGTGATATTAAGCAGCAGCGATAACAGCTGAAAAACAGTCCTGAGGCCAGACTGCTCCATTCTGTCTGCTTTTGATGAGCAGGTGGGAAAATTGCACAAGAAGGGCTGCAGAGGAGATTCATCAGGATGCTGCTTGGGATGGAAAACCTAAGTTATGAGGAAAAGTTAGTTTGGCTTGGTTTGTTTTGTTTGGAGCAGAGAAGCCTGAGGGGCGATCTGATTGAGGGGCATGGGAAGAGTGGATAAGCAGCAGCTGTTCCTCTTGAAGGGTCAGTCATTTGGGGACGTGGGTTCAAGATGAGTGGCAGGAGGTTTGGGGGGATGTCAGGAAAAATGTTTTCACCCGGAGCATGGTGATAGTCTGGAATGTACAGCCTGGGAGGGTGTGTAGAGGCAAGTTGCCTCACATCTTTTAAAAAAGTACCTGGATAAGCACTTGGCATGTCACTACATCGAAGTACTGGGAAATGGGATTAGTTTGAAGGTCAGATGTTTCTCATTGGGCCAAAGGACCTCTTCTGCACTGTATGATTCTATATATATATGAATCATAGAATCCCTACAATGTGGAAGCAGGCCATTTGCCCCATTGAATCCATACCGACCCTGCGAAGAGCATCCCACCCATCCCCCTAACCTATCCCTGCAACCCTGTATTTCCCATGGCTAATCCACCTAGCCTGCACATCCTTGGCACATATTGGCAATTTAGCGTGGCCAATGGCTTTGGACAGTGGGAGGAAACTAAAGCACCCGGAGGAAACTCACACAGACACGGGGGGAACGTACAAACTCCACACAGACAATCGCCCGAGGCTGGAATCAAAGCCATGTCCCTGTTGCTGTGAGGCAGCAGTGCTAACCGTTGAGCTGCCATGCCGTCCCAAATGATTCGTATGAAATGTAGAAGAGACAGAATTATATAAATAAGACAGTGAGAAATTCCTCTGAGAGCTGTTCGGTTAATTCATTGAAACATAAAAAACAGGAGCAGAATAGGCCATATGACCCTCCAAGCCTGCTCCACCATCAGCATGTACCTGGTGAGGTCAATTATTTCCTGTGAACTCTGGTGAGCACAAATTTCTTCTCAAAGTTGTCTCCTTCAGGAAAATGCCATTTCTTTGGTTAAGCACTTACAGTATTGAGGCTGAAGCCTCTCCATGCATTTCACTTCATGAGAAGTCTCATTTATATGCAGTCCACCATCTTGTACTGAAATGCTTGCTGTGATTGGGGTGAATGATCAACTGGTCCCATAATCTAACCCAACATTTGCTTCGTCTTAGCTAATCTGACCGGGCCAGACAAATGCGCTTCAACCAAAAACAGAGATCAACTTAAACAAGGGTTTAACCTAAAAGGGGAATGAACAGAAAAGGTGGATAGAGAGTAGGATGGGTGGAAAGGAAAGGTAGAGAATGGAAGTTAAACGGCGTGTTTGTTGGGTGGGCAATGGAGGGATTCTGGGAAATAGAGGCAGAAAATTGAGATGTAGAGGGCAGGGGAATAGTAATAGAGATGAGACGGACAGTGAAAGGTGGGAGCTGGATATAAAGGGCATGTGACACAATGGAGTATGTTGGTGCGCTGAGGACAGGTGCAGTGCTACTGAGTGGGAGGAGGGTTGGGAAGTGTGGTCATGGTTTAGGGGTGAGGCTAAGCATGGGCATCTCAGCAGAAGTGGGATCGGAGAAAAGCTAGAATATTCAGGGAACCAGAAGATGGGTTGCTCGCTGCTGAATTCCCGATCTCTTATCTGCTTGTGGAACCACAGTTTCGGTCAATCATAGCACCCAGAAAGTGGGGGAATGTAACAAAATTATTGCCTTGAAGATGGTCCCCAGATCATCCTGAATCTATTGGTTATCTCTCCCAGGAAACTATTCAGTGTCTTCACTTTGCCTCAGTAGCTTGAGTGTGAAAGTGAGAATATTTAGCTAGAATTCCAGCTGTCTAGTGTCTGAAACCCTAAAGTTTCAAATGTGGGGTAGGGAAAAGATTGGACCCAGTTATGAGGCTTCATATGCTCGAATGGTCTGCTGGCAATGCTGAAGTAATTTTCCAGTTCAACAAAACCAGAATGGATGAGTGAGAAACCATAACTGGGTTCCAGCAGTTATAGTTGGTGGGTGAGCCTCTGTGACATCAAGAGGTCGCCCTGTCCATAGCCCTCATAGTCTTATACGCCTCAATCGTGTCCCCCCTCAGCCTTCTCTACTCTAGCAGGAATAACATTATCTAATCTCTCCTGAAAGCTCAATGGCTCCATCCCAGGCAACATCTTGGTGAACCTCCTCTGTATCCCCCGTAGTGCTACCACATCCTTTCTGTAGTGAAGTGTTCAGAACTGCACACAGTACTCCAGCTGTGGTCTAACTAATGCTCTGTACAACTGCAATATTATATCCTTGTTATAATACTCTATGCCATGACTGATGAAAGCAAGTATCCTATGTGCCTTCTTAACTATCCTATCTCTGTGCTGTGCCAGCTTCAGAGATCTGTGAATAACTACCCCAAGATTCCTCTGTTCCTCTGAAGGTCCTGCCATTCATTAAATACTCTGTCAACTTGTTTCTTCTTCCAAAGTGCATCACCTCACACTTGAGGGTTAAATAACATCTGCCTCTGCTCTGCCCATCTGACCAACCCATTTATATCTCCCTGCAACTTACAACCATCCTCTTCGCTATTAACCACTGTACCAATCTTGGTATTGTCTGCAAACTTACTTAACATTCACCCCACATTTTCATCTATATCATTTATGTATATAACAAACAATAAGGGTCCCAATACTGATCCTTGTGGGACACTGCTGGACACTGGCTTCCAGACACTTGGACAGCCTTCTACTGCTACCCTTTGTTTACTATTACTAAGCCAGTTTCTGATCCATCTTGCAAAGTTTCTCTCAATTCCATTTTTAAATTCCTCCTTATCTTTCTTAAATTGATACCCCTTCATTCTGAGATTATACTGTCCGGTCTTAGACTCTCCCATAATGGGAAATGTTCTCTCAACATTTACCCTGTCAAGCCGCTTAAGAGTCCTATATATTTCAATGAGATCCTGCCTCATTCTTCTAAATCCCAGCGGGTAGAGTCCAACCTGTTTAGCTTTTGCTCATTAAACAATTGGGGTAGATGATTTGCGATGGAGATGAGGAGATATTTCTTCACCCAAAGAGTGGTGAGCCTGTGGAATTCATTACCACAGGAAGTAGTTGATGCCAAAATATTGAATGTGTTCAAGTGGCGACTAGATATAGCACTTGGGGCGAATGGAGTCAAAGGTTATGGGGAGAAAGCAGGATTAGGCTATTGTGTTAGGATCAGCCATGATCCTAAAGAATGGCGGAGCAGGCTCAAAGGGGTTCCTCCTGTTCTTATCTTCTTTGTTTCTGTGTTTCTTCCATGGATCATTCTAGTGAACCTTCTCTGAACTGTCTCCAATGAAATATGTTTATGTAAATAAGGAGACCAAAACTGCTCACAGTACTCCAGATGTGGTCTCACCAGCAACTTGTACAGTTACACTAAGATTTCCTTAGTCTTATACTCCAAGCCCCTTGAAATAAGACACAACATTCCATTAACCAATATGTTGTGAGGTTGTGGAATTTGTTACCAGCATTAGTGATTGCAGCAACTACAATTGTTATAAACGCTATATAAATTTATGTAATGATGTTAAGGCTACAAATTCATTCATTTTGTCACTTTAGGTATGAAAGCATTTACTGTGGATCAAGTAACTGGTACAATCAGTACTGTTTCTTTGCTGGATAGAGAAGAGATGAGAGAACATATAACAATTGATATCACTGTAAGTCTTACTCAACCATGAAACTCTAATATAGTGATTTAAAATACGTCTTTGCACTAATGACTGTTAAACATCATTACAGATTTAAACTCCACACATTTCAGTATTTCAGTTATCCCTTCTTAGGGTAAAATTGCTGGCCAGATGCAGTCTAAATGTGTTAATATCATTCGTATAATTTATTTCATTCCATTGACAGGAGTGAGGATAGTAGAATGTAAGCACCCATGCAACTTATCAGTTGTAGTATGCGGAATTCTGTATTAAATCAATACATGCATTTCCCTTTTAGTGTTCATTCAGTACTTTCAGATTCAAGCCTATAACATCTACTGTGGACGGACAACACAGCATTAATTTTGAAATGCTAGTATTAGCCGCAGAGCTTACAGTGCTTAGTTTAAAAAGAATTTGAGTTACACAAGATTAGGCTATGCAGATGTTTGGATGATTTTTGAAAACTAGAAAAAGTAGGTCATCAAAATTGATGGGGGCGGGAATTATAGCAAATTTAATCCTTTTTGGTGCAGCTTTGTTGCATTACCATGCTGCATTAATACAGATGCTGATTTAAATCACAGGAAAATAAAAATGTTTTCTTTAATATAGGCTTTTGAACTTGTTGAAGGTGTTAAAGACCTATCTGCTTCAACAACAACAGCAGTTACGGTATTAATACTTGATATAAATGACAATAAACCAGTATTTTACTCAGTGCATGGAGTGGCTACTGACAGTTTTCATGTCAGTGTGCCTGAGGAGACTGCAAACGGTGTACCCATTCTTCACCTATTTGTACAAGACCTTGATCAAGTATGTTCATTTCAGTTTTATTTGACTTCCTTTAAAAAAATCAGAAGCAATTTTCTGGTAACTGAATTCAATAACATTTTGTCTATCCCCAACAGGGTTACAATGGGACATTTGAAGTGTTTCTTACTGGGGCAAATTCCACCGCTTTTAACTTGAATCAAAATTTTGTTTATAATGAGGGAATATTAACACTCCACGTGGCAAACTCTGAGACCCTAGACTTTGAGAAGAGTCATCTCTTACAGTTTCAGGTATGGTCAACTAATTATCTTTTAATTAAATAATTGACCCACCATGATATTTTTAATGGTGAATTGTCACTGAAAGGATTTGAAAAATTTGAGCGTGATATGTTCAACAAGAGCAAACTCTTTTGATTGGTTCATAAAATATTAATAAATCTTGCTTTCCTTATCTAGAATAAGAGGCAGAAAAATAAATAACATTCACTCAATTAAATCCCCTCAGAATCTCATATAAGAAAGAGAGTAGCAGTGGAAGGGTGCTTTTCAGAATGGAAATCAGTAACTAGTGTTCCGCAGGCATCAGTGCTGGGGGGGACCTTTGTTGTTTGTAGTATAGATATAAATGATCTGGAGGAAAATGTAGGTGGTCTGATTAGTAAGTTTGTGGATGGCACCAAAATTGACAGAGGTACAGATAGTGAGGAGAATTGTCAAAGGATACATCAGGCTACAGATAGTTTGCAGATTTGGGCAGCGAAATGACAGAGTTTAATTGGACAGATGCAAGGTGATCCATTTAGGAAGATCAAATTCAGGTGCGAATTATACAATAAATGGCAGAACTCTTAGGAGCATTAACATTCAGAAGGATCTGGATGTACGGGTCCATATATCCCTGACAGTGGCAACACAGGTGGATGAGGTGGTGAAGAAGGCATACAGCACTCTTGGCTTCATCGAACTGGGCATCGAATGCAGAAGTTCGCAATTTATGTTATAGCTGTATAAAACTTTAGTTAGGATACATTTGGAATATTATATGCAGTTCTAATTGCCACACTACCAGAAGGACATGGAGAGGGTGCAGAGAAGATTTACCAGGCTGTTGCCTGGTCTGGAGCGTTTTAGTTATGAGGAGAGGCTGGATAAACTACAAAAGGGCACGGGTTCAAGGTAAGAGGGGGAAAGTTTAGGGGAGAAGTGCAAGGAAAATTTTTCACACAGAGGGTGATGGGTGCCTGTCCGTGGAGGTGGTGAAAGCAGGCCTGTTAGCAACTTTTAAAATGTATCTTGATAGACACATGAACGGAGACAAACAGATGGATAGAAACGTGTATGGGCAATAAGTAGCAGGTCTAAATAAGGACGAGGAATTGGTGTAGGCTTGGTGGGCCAAAGGGCCTGTTGACAATGATGTCCCCCACCCAAGTCCCACCCCACCCACATTCATCTGTGGCCTGGGTCGCTCAACAATCCTAGGATTCTCCCCGAAAAGATATTTCAGCTTGAATTAAAAATGTATTCACTGTAATTATTTTTCAGTTAGTTCTTTTTCTACATTTTCTCCCTTTCAATCTTTTCAAAATTTTTCTCATTTGCTTTCTGTCCCTTCTTGATTGTCTCCATGTAAACAGGGGATTTGTCTTGAGACCGAGCATGAAGCTGTGAGCAGAGGTTAAAAAACATAAGTTAGCTCAGGGACTAAAATATATAGGCAGTGAGCAGGAAATGCTGGAGACTAGAGCCAATATCCTTTGCCAACATTTGGAAAATGGAGAAGAAACCACAAGCAAGGGTCAGACCTCACACTATTCAAGGGGCGAACAGTAATAAATGGAAGAGAGCCAAAGAACTAGCTTGCCCATACAATGCTCTAGACCACAATTATATAAATGTGTACAACCACAAATTCCCAAAATGCTACTCCATCTTCCAAACTCACTGCTACACTCCAAAAAGATGAAATAGTTCATAGAGTTTGACAGTAACCCAAATGTTATTTTCTTACAGAACATGGGACCAACATGCCTTTCTCATGAAAGAAACATTGATGGTACAGGAAAAAAGAAAGAGCTTGCACTTATATGGTCCCTTTTTATGATCTCAGGATAACCCAAAGTATTTTGCATTTCATAAAGCCCCTTTGATGTGTAGTCCCTTTGTTCGTAATGCACAAAACAAATTTCACACAGCAATGTTCCACAATATCAATGCGATAATGTGTATTCATTGTGGATGGTGGCAACACTGGTGGGCCAGCGTTTATTACCCATCACTAATTGCCCTCTAGACGTTGGTGGTGAACCACCTTCTTGAACTACAGTAGTCCACGTATATAAGAACACACATAGTGCTGTTAGAGAAGGAGTTCCAAAATTTTGATTCTCTGAAGACAGTTTGCAACAAGTAACATACTGACAGTAACCAAATAGACTGTGCTGGTGAAACTCACAACACAGTGAGCAATGTTACATGTGATTGGATAACATTTGCTAAATAGACATGAGTACGTGAAGAATTACACTGTCAGCCAATTTGGGATTGTCAGTCGGGCTCACAATGTGATGTGCTTACATGTACTGGAAGCTATATGTGTCAATACATCAGGCCCTGTTCTTTGTAGACAACAAGAACATGTACACACACTGCACCTCTTTTAGCTTAACGAAATAGGTGACCACATTCTCTGGTTCATTTCTTAAGGCCATTTCTTCACCAACTATAGTGAATCTATCTGGTTTAAAATGTATATAAATCTTGGCAGTTAACTGTCATCATCATTTGGTGCATTCTCCATGGCAACACCTCTACCAATCAGAGTCCACTTGCTAACTAACTAGAACTTTACTCTCCTACAGTATATTTGTCAATTACCACGTACTTTGATACTTCTTGTGAATTGTTCTGATGAGGCAAGATGAAAAGCCTTTAAAAAATGCCCTTTTTTCAATAACACTCAAGTTCTATTTTCCCAAACAACTACTTATATCCATTATATAGCTTCTATAAAATTTGGTGCCAAAACTGCATTCAATGCTTCAACTTTGGGTCCAACTAATATCTTGTTCAAGCTCAATATTACCTCCACTGGCAATTTTCAGTTTTTCTATTTCGATTTCAACATTTAAGCTTTTAGTTTTTACTTTGCTGAGCCAATTATCTACCACCCATTCCCACGTTAGGCTCCAGCAACTTACCATCAGCACCCTGGAGAAACGGTCCACCTCTTTGTATCCCTAGGGCTTTCTCTGCAAGTGCAGCTTCATTCTTAAGCCTTACATGCATGTAATTGCTTGTATCATCAGGACCATTATGTTTGTTTGATTTGGTTTGCTGCTTTTGACAGCATCCCATGACAATCAGATAGCTAGCAAATTTACATTTTGCTTAAAGGGGAAAACGGCTTTGTAACAGTCCTTGAAACAAAACTCAGAAGTATATGTCAGTGTTTTACTACACTGTTAATTTCATGGGGAGGGGGCTCACCACCTCAGATTTGACTCCTGTGTTACAAAGAGCAGGGAAGGCATCAGGCAACCTGTCTACCTGTAGGCCTATTGAGGCTCTTGTGACCCAGTGGTTCCACCTCTACAGCTGGAAGGATAAGGCAGGTAGCCTGACAGCATGGGGTGCCATTCAGTAAAATTCTGCCCATCGGAAGCCTGCCCTCAGATTGTAACCCCAAAAAAGTTATCCCTTGTGCCCAGCCAATCTCTCAGACTTGCCCCTCAACTGCAGTCTACTAGTCAAGCCAGTCCAAAAATGCCTGATTTACCTTTAAGCTGTGATCTCATCCCATCTTGTTTTCGGATTATGGCTGGGATCCCAGTAGTGGCTGCCAGCTCTCTGGGGTGGAACCTCCTCTGGGATGGGAATGGATGTCCATCTCTGAAAGAAATAAAGATTGTTGTCTGTGAAACGTGGCTCCAGGACAGCTGAATTTCAGCTTGACAGGCTGATGGCTGTCAGGAAGGGTTCACAATGTTCCTTAAAATCTAGCCCAAAGTAAACAAAGATATTCTGGGAGACACGGATTAGTGACTTGAGTACAGAGCTCAATTCAGATGTTTGTGAGGTGATAAATTTTGTTAGGAAGACCGAGGAAAAGCAATAGAAACTAAATGACACAATTTTTACTGTGATGCAGGAGCAGTGAACCCCAGGGAGTATGTTAGACACAATTCTGATCCACGGATGGACCTGAGCATTTAGTCCCCAATTCCAAATTTTATTCCAGAGACTTGGAGCATGCAAGTCCCTATCTGCATCTTCTGCATGAGTTTCAATCTCCTTCTCATGCATAGCCCATTTATGGATAACTTCCATTGCCTCAAAAATGATCTTCACCCAGTAAAGGTGAACTGTGGACTAGGTGAAAGTTCCGTAGCTATAAACTGCCGTAAATCCTATGTTATATCATTTGGGAGGACAGATAGACTTATGCACAGTTCCTCATCGGGTTTTGGCTTAAACAGAATTTGGTGGCTAATAATAAAGTCAGAAGAAATATTGATGATAGCCATGATCTGTCCATTTGGGATGCACAATGTTTGTACTTTTTGGTATCCTGATGCTGCCGTGGTGACATAGTAGGTGTCTCTAACTAAGGCTTATTTAAGAAAAGCCTGGTTATTTACCGACAGCATAGACAATGAGTAGTTCTCATAAGAGGTAAATCCACACTGTGTTAGCTCTTCTTTGATCATTTCTTCTGGGCATGCCCAGTGGATTCCCCCTTGATGGCATTGGAACAAATCTATGCCACTTGTGGATCCCTCTAGAACTGTAGCATGTCATTGTGACCCTTACTGAAACTAGCTGTATAGTGAAAATTTACATATGTTTAATCAATCTGTTCAGACACCTTTTGAGGGCAGGTAGAGACCACTGTGCCACAAGAGCCCTTATATAGTCGATTTGTAAGTGGATTGAATTTAAATTCCACAGGCTGCGATGGTAGAATTTGAACCAACATCCCTGGAGCATTGGGCTGCGCCTCTGGATTGCTAATCCAGCACATTACCAATGTGGTGGATTTCACCCATTCACAACAACCCACAGCAACAGAGGCAATGGGGAAGCCAAGAAAAATGGCAGAAAGGTAGAACAGGTACGGATCAGCTTACAGACAGAGATCAAACCATGTCTGCAGATATCTGCAAAGTGTAAAATGTAGATATGAAAGAGAAAGAGATCCACAAATAGATCTTTGGGGTAGTCTAAAAGAAATAATCTCAGAGCTGAAAGACAAGCCATTTCTAGAGAAGCTCTGGCAATGATTAGAT